CAACAAGTGTTGTGCTGATAGATGCACAGAAGGTGGAGTTTGAAGGGCAGAAATTGAAAAATCTCAAAGCAAAGAATTATTTCTTCCAGGTAATTGATCGTTCCATCATGGAAACCATTTTTTGTAAAGAAACTTCCAAGCAAATTTGAGACTCTATGAAGAAGAAGTATGAGGGGACAACAAAGGCAAAGAGGGCACAACTTCAAGCACTTCGAGGCGATTTTGAAACTTTACACATGAAGTTTGGAGAATTGGTGTCAGATTACTTCTCTAGGACGATGGCAATCACAAATAAGATGAGAATCCATGGCAACAAAATGGCAGATGTCACTATCATTGAGAAGATTCTTCGTTCGATGACAACAAAATTCAACTATGTTGTTTGTTTGATTGAGGAATCTAAAGACACTGACAATATGTCCATTGATGAATTGCAGAGTTCTTTGTTGGTTCATAAGCAAAAAATGAATTGGCAAGACAAGGAGGAGCAAGCGTTACAAGCCTTGACATCAAAAGAAGGAGGTCAAAGACGAGGAAGATGCAGAGGCAGAGGCAGAGATGGCAATGATGGTAGACACTCAAATTAGAAATCTAAAAATTATGATTCTCAAGGAAGAGGAAAAGGCCTTGACAACAACAACAATCATTCAACGCCTTCCAAGCCAAAGTCAGCAGACAAATCAAGAGTTGAATGTTACAGGCGTCACAAGTTTGGCCATTACAAGTCAGAGTGTAGTACTAATCTAATGAGAGATAGTTGAAAACAATCCAATTTTACTGAGAAGGAAGAAGAAGTGTCTTTGTTGATGGATTGTCACGTGAAGGAGGAAATCGACAAGAAATTCTTGTGGTACTTAGACACTGGTTGCAGCAACCATATAAGTGGAGAGAAGTCTGTATTCCCTGAATTGGATGAAGCTTTCCGTGATGTTGTGAAGTTCAGTGATGGCTTTGCAGTGTCTGTTATGGTAAAGGAAAAGGTAACAATTCAAATCAACAGAAATTCTATTCAAACTATTTCTAACGTTCTCTTTGTTCCAGATTTGAGAACAAATTTACTTCGTGTTAGTCAGCTACAAGAAAAGGGATATGGAATCTCTATCAAAAATGGAGTCTGCAGAATTGAAGATGAGAAGTTGGGCTTGATAGCTCAAGTCAACATGATAGCCAACAAAATGTTTCCATTATATCTCCATGACATCGCTCACTCATGCCTTTCTGCAAGATTGGGAGAGAAGGAATGGCTATGACATTTTCGCTATGAGCATTTTAGCTTTGGCGGGTTGAAGACTTTACAACAGAAGAATATGATGACTGGTCTTCCTCAAATTACAACCCCTTTTGAAGAAAGTGTTGTTAGCAAACAACATCGTAATCAATTCCCACAAGGGAAATCATGGAGGGCGAGGACTGCACTATAGCTTGTTCATTCCGACATTTGCAGGCCAATAACTCCATGCTCTAATGGAGGTAAGAGATATATACTTACCTTCATTGATGATTTTAGTCACAAAGGCTGAGTTTATTGTTTGCAAGAGAAGTCTGAAGCCTTTCTAGTCTTTAAAAGCTATAAAGCACTGGTTGAGAAAGAAGTTGGCAGTCCCATAAAAATTCTTCGCACAGATCGTGGTGAAGAATATAACTCACATGAATTTGCAAGTTTCTGTGAGACTCATGGAATCAAGAGGCAGCTTACAACAACTTATATGCCCCAACAGAATGACATTTGTGAAAGGAAGAATCACACTATTCTAAATATGGTGCGAAGTATTTTAATAAGGAGTTGTATTCCAAAGAGTTTCTAGCCTGAAGCAGTTAACTGGAGCATTCATATATTGAATAGAAGTCCCACACTTGCTGTTCAAAATATGACACCAGTGGAAGCATGGAGCTGACGAAAACTAATTGTTGATCACTTTAGAATTTTTGGATGTGTTGCATATGCCCATATTCCAGATCAGAAGAGGAAGAAGCTGGATGACAAGGGAGAAAAATGTATTTTTATTGGTGTTAATGATTAGTTAAAAGCTTATAAGCTTTACAATCCTAACATTAAGAAAATACTTATCAGTCGAGACGTTGTTTTTGATGAAGATCAAATCTGAGAATTGAGCAAAAATATAGTTGGAGAGCCAATTCCAACTAGTTTTGCTGGAGAAGATGCTGATGACGCAAACCAACCACAACAACATCTTGTTCCAGCAATTGACCCTCAAAATGAAACTCCTATAGCCTTTAAAGTCACTCCAACAACACTAGAAGCAGCAGCTAAATCACATTCTCATCATGTTCGAAGGAGGCCAGCATGGATGTCAGATTATAAGGTAACCAGAATTGATCAATCTAAAGACCCACTCACTCATTTTGCTCTATTTTCAGATTGTGATCTTACAGTGTTTGAAAGTGCTGTCAAAGAATCAAATTGGTGGAATGCTATGGATGCTGAAATTTCAACCAACGAAAAGAATGACACTTCGGAGTTATCTTCTTTCAGAAGGCGCAAAACAATTGGTGTGAAGTGAATTTATAAGACAAAGCTGAAGGAGAATTGTGAAGTCGACAAGTACAAGGCACACTTGGTGGCCAAGGGTTATAAGTAAGAGTTCGGTGTTGATTATAAATAAATCTTTGCTCCAGTAGTAAGTCATGACACAATCAAATTGGTGATTGCATTAGCAGCTCAGAACTCATGGTCTATCTTCTAGCTGGACGTGAAGTCGGCGTTCCTCCATGAAGATTTGAAGGAACTGGTATATATCAATCAACCTCCTAATTATGTGAAATCTGGAAATGAGCATAAAGTGTATAGACTAAAGAAGGCTCTATATGGATTAAAAAAATCCTCACGACCTTGGTATAATTGTATAGAAACTTATTTTGTGAAGGAAGGATTTCAAAATTGTCCTTATGAACATACACTTTTCATAAAAGTTGAGGATGGAGGGAAAATGCTCATTGGTTGCTTATATGTAGATGATCTAATCTATACTAGAAGCAATACATTCATGTTTGAAAGCTTTAAGAAATCCAAGATAACTGAATTTGAAATGTTTGATCTTGGCATGATGCATTACTTTCTTGGCATAGAAGTGTTGCAGTCCTCTATTGGCATTCTTATTTCTCAAAAAAAGTATGTTGGAGAAATCTTGGACAGGTTTCAGATGAAGGATTGTAATCCTGTGAATACATCGTCTGAGTTTGGCTTGAAGCTAAACAAGGATGATGGAGGATAGAAGGTTAATAGTACTCTTTACAAGCATATTATGGCGAGCTTAATGTATTTTACTGCAACAAGGCCTAATATAATGCATGTTGTAAGTGTCATTAATAGATACATGGAGTGTCCGACAAAGATTCATCTTTTGGCTGCAAAAAGAATTCTTAGGTACTTGCAAGGTACTAAGGAGTTTGGGTTGTTCTTCAAAAAGGGAGAAAAGTTAGATTTGTTTGGCTTTACAGATAATGATTATGCAGGAGATTCTGATGATCGAAAAAGTACATCTGGGCATGTTTTTATGTTGGGAACATGAGTTATTTCATGGTCATCAAAGAAGCAACCAATCGTCACATTGTCAACCACTGAAGTTGAATTTGTTGCAGCAACAACTTGTGCTTGTCAAGTTTTTTGCCTGAAGAAGATTCTTGAAAAGCTGCACTTCAAAGAAGATGGGCCTACTCTCATTTACAGTGACAACAGTTCAACAATAAAGCTCTCAAAGAATCCTGTTCTACATGGTCGAAGCAAGCATATAGATGTGAAGTATCATTTCTTGAGGGATCTCACGAATGATGGAGTTATTAATCTGGTTTACTGTAGGAGTGAAGACCAGATTGCTGATATTCTAACAAAGCCTCTCAAATTTCCAGCATTTCAAAAGCTTAGGGAGCTACTTGGTGTTTGCATTTCAAAGGACTTTATTTGAGGGATGACGCTTCAAAGTTTGAGTTTTATTAAATTGATGTTATTTATGAACCATAAGTTTAAGGGAAGGATTGTTGAATAATTTAGTAGCAGCACGTTAGAATGTGTTGATTTGGTTTGCCCTAATTTTTAGGAGTTTAGTAGTTTATTTATGTTTTGTTGCCTAGTTTGTAGGAGTAGTTTAGCATGATGTTAGTGGTGCCTATTTTTGTGTATGTAACCGTTTTGTTTTTTTAGCCTATATAATGGGCATTCCCTTATCAAAGAAGAAGTGAAGTTTCAGTCTAACTCTGTTTTCCCTTGTTTTTAGTTTATCATTTTCTTCTTCCAATTTACATCATAAACCCACAAAAAATGTGAATTTATTTAAGAGGTTGTATATAGTATTAAATACACTATTTATTCGGCCTGATATTATTTTTAAGTGACAATATCGAGCCCAAAATGTATATTCAAACATGAGTTAAGAGGGATAATGTGAGCCCAGCCTTATCTTTTCCAATCCCTCTTTGCTAATACCTCCAAAGCAAACACCCTAAAAGATCACTTCTGACCCAACACAATTTTAGTGGTTACTTACTTTAGCGACAAGTAATGATCACTTTTTGTTAAAACTAAGCTCGAGAGTTGATACTTATCTTGATACGATATATTTTCCAATCAGTAAATTAAGTGAACAAATTTGATTGGATAATTTGGTCGATAAAAGATTGTCATGAGGTAGAATTGAATCAAATGACACCAAGCACATAAAACTAAAATAGGGATAAGTATTGTTGTGTGTGACTGAGCCATCAATTAATTAATCTTCGTAATACCAACGGACTTTTGGTCTAATAGTACTCTTTATCTTATGAAGACTTTATCTTCTTGAGGTCAAATGTTCAAGTCTCTCTCCCTTTTCCCCAAACAAATTGTCAAAAGAAAAAAAAAAAATTAATCCCTGTAAACTAAATGCAAGTCACAACGGTCCATCGGAGGCCCACGTGAGGCCTCGTAGGAAAGCCCAATGCAAATTGAAACGCAAAAAGCGCAATTCGAAAGTTTAAAAACGGATCTACAGCCTTTGTTTTTAACGGTCAAATTCTCCTCTTCGTTGGTTCTTCATCCAAAGCCTCCTTGTTCCTTTGGCACCAAGTCTTGCATATCTCATCTCTCCAACTTCCATTACTCTCTCTCTCTTGTAGGAAAATTTGGTTGTAATGGCAACTCATGGTCGTTCATTAGGCACACCTCAGGCAGAAACTTTATCCACTCCTGCAAAATCCTCACGGTTACGTCCCAGTTCAGTCTCAAAGGTCAGAGTCATTGTTCGGGTTCGCCCCTTTCTTCCCCAAGAAACAGCTTCGGGAAATGGAACCCCAATCTCTTGCGTATCTGTTCTTGATTCAGAACTCGACTCTAGTGAAGAAGTTACTGTTCATCTAAAAGATCAAGAAACTAGGTAAGCAAGCAATTGTTATTCAGAAACTATTTCGGCATAAAATTTCTTGGTTTTAGTTTCTGATTTGATGTGGGGTTGTTTTCTCTGTTGGCGTAGTCGAAATGAGTGTTACAAATTGGACTCTTTCTTTGGCCAAGAAGACAACAATGTCAATCGTATTTTTCACAGAGAAGTGAGCCCTTTAATTCCTGGAATTTTTCATGGCTACAATGCCACAGTATTTGCATATGGGGCTACTGGCAGTGGAAAAACCTACACCATGCAGGTTTGATTCTCTAACACACCAGAAAGGACTTATATTATTTCACCATTTTGCTCAATTTAATGTTCATGTAACAAGTAACTTCATTTCTTGCTTAAGTTATGCCTTTTTTCGGATTTGAGTGCTCGTGTCATGTGACGGTTGTGTCTACCCGAGATGATCCCAAATCAGATAGGATAGGGCTTCATTTGTAGTTATATTAGACTTATTAGTTGATTTGGCTGAGTTTTATTGGAGATTTTCGTTTTGGGCGTAAGCGTTGATAATATTGAGTGACGAATTTGACGAGGACATGAATGATGATGATGCAGGGGAGTGATGAATTACCAGGTCTAATGCCTCTGGCAATGTCGACCATTCTGTTTATGTGCCAGAGCACAGGAAGTAGGGCAGAGATTTCGTACTATGAAGTCTATATGGACAGGTGTTATGATCTAATGGAGCTCAAAGCGAATGAAGTTGCAGTTCTGGATGACCAAGATGGGCAAATTCACCTCAAGGGGTTGGCTAGGGTTCCAGTTAATTCAATGTGTGAATTTCGTGAGATGTTTTCTAGTGCAATTCTGAGGCGGAAGGTTGCGCACACGGGTCTTAACGATGTCTCTAGTAGGAGCCATGGGGTACTTGTGATTTCTGTTTCCGCTCCTTGTGATGATGGTTCTGGGAAATCTGTTACTGGGAAGCTGAACCTCATAGATTTAGCAGGTATTTTGGAGTGTCTAAGTAGTTTAAATTGATCAAAATTGTCATACCATGTGAATATAATCTCCTTAATTTTAAAATTTTGAAACAATTTATGCGATTCTATCAGGTAATGAAGATAATAGGAGGACCTGTAACGAAGGTATTCGCCTCCAAGAGAGTGCCAAGATCAACCAGTCCTTATTTGCCTTGTCGAATGTGATTTATGCTCTGAATAACAACAAACCCAGAGTGCCATACAGAGAAAGTAAACTGACACGAATATTGCAGGATTCTCTTGGAGGAACAAGCCGCACTTTAATGGTAGCTTGTTTGGTAAGTGAGTTTTGATTTAGTTCAGGCTGGTTTATGCTTTCATTGTCAATGTTTATAAAAGGTTAATTATAATTTAATACGCTCAACCCTTGTTTGATTATAGAATCCAGGAGAATACCAAGAATCTGTTCATACAGTTAGTTTGGCAGCTAGGTCACGCCACATATCTAATTTTGTACCATCAGCTCAGAAACAAGATACTCCTAAGGTTCAAGTTGACATGGAGGCAAAGCTCTATGCTTGGCTTGAATCAAAGGGCAAGACAAAGAGTAAACAAAGAATAGGGGTGTTTGGTTCCCCATTTCCGAGTAGAACTCCTAGATCTGTAAGCTCTATGAAGAGACACGGTACACATAAGAGCTCTGCAAAAACTCAGGCTATTGCCAATCAAGGTGCTTCAAGTTTAAAAGAAAGGTAGGGGATGACTGCATGCACTTCTTGCTGCAGTGTGTAAGCCACAAGTTAGTTCCTATCACTTAATTACTCCAATTATTTGCAGGGAAGTGCATATGTGTTGCAGTAATCTATTCGACAATGGTGGTCTGTTAGATACAGCTATGGGGGTGAGCACTTTAATTTAGTAAACCAATTTTCATATTTTTGTTGTTGCTGTTGGTTTTGTTCTAGTTGATGTTTTATACTTTTATGGACACTTTAAAATAAGTCATGTTTGACACCAACTCCTGGACTCATAGGAGTGCCCAATGGAGAAAGGATAGAGCTCAACCTTGCCTTATTAGAAGGTTTTTTGAATACCTGCCTAATCTAATTCTACGATTACATGGCATTTTAAGATAGCTGCTGTGCTCAGTTATTGCCAGAGGCTAATTTTTTACAAGTAAGAATGAAGAACACCCTGAAATTTAACCTCATCCCCATTCCTTAACTATAACTATTTTCTAGTCTTGAAAATTGCTACAAGAAAAATGTCTCCACAATGTACAGTTTCAAAAACTGCCTTGGTGTGGCAGGAAGGTATGTTGTTCAAAATTTGCAGAAGATAGAAGAATGAAAATACATACCAAAAAAAAAAAAATCATCCTACAATTATAGAAGCCAGACTCATCCAATAGTAATTTATTTTTCTGTGTGACATTTATCAAAGCTATAATGTTTTGATATTTTAAATATCTACGTTCGGTTTTGCTACTGAAGCAGGACCTTGCTGCTGAGAGAAAAACAAATGAGTTCAGGGCCTCTGCTGACAGGATAGTGTTAGACTCAACATGTGTGCCTGGTATGTTGCTGCTAAATGAAATTTGTTGAACTCGATCCATTGTTTTAAAGTGAAAGTCAATAGACTAATTTGACGCTTAAATAAACTTTCATTCTTTTTTGCATAGACGAACCATTGGATGACGAGAGGGAGCCAACAACCATCAAAGGTACCGACTTTGCCGCATTAACACCGACTAGAGAGAAAAGTAAAGCACTTCCAGGCTCCCTAAGAAAAGTTCTTTCTCCCATTAACTCTAACATCAACATTGAGCACATATTATCCAGAGACCAAATATATCCTGCCCTTTCTGATCCCAAGACACCTTCCATTCTGATGGCTGACAACAACTACAAAACGATTGGCACCCCACTTGATAAGTTTAATGCACGAAGTTCTAATTTGAAGGTATGGGGAAAATATTGGCCATCATTTATTTCTTGTCTCTCATTTGTGGTCCTAATCCTTGAAATTTGAATGAATGTACAGGGTACTCTTGCCCAAGAATATGTTGAGTTTTTGAATATGGCTAGCAGGTGATTACGGATTATTTTGTTTCTATTTCTCTTCATTTTGTTGGCCCTTTCATTCTTTAAGTTAATTCGGAGTTAACTTTTTCTTTGTCAATATCGTGTCAGGGAGGAGTTACTGGAGTTAAAGGTAGATTAACCATATTAATTGTAACAACCTGATTTTCATCTTTCTTATAGAACTGATTTCCTTTTCTGGTGCTACATTTAGCTGATATTTAACTTTTCAATTCAGGGAATTGGACGAAAGATGGCTGAATACATACTTGAGTTGAGGGAAACAAGCCCACTAAAATCGGTAAGAAAAACTTTTTTTTTTTTGTGACATTAACAAGAATTTGACATTTTCTACTGTTGGGTGGACTAAATGCATAGTTTGAAATGTTGCAGCTAAGTGATTTGGAGAAGATAGGCCTTTCATCCAAGCAGGTAATACTCTTAATGAGTATATTATTATCTCCAAACATTGATATCAATAACAGGATTATGAGTTATTTTACTTAAAATTTGAAAATCTCCTGCAGATACATAACATGTTTGGTAGAGCTGCAAGAGGAATATTTGGTTGAGTTAATTTGCAACATCTAGTTGTTTGGGAGACTTGCAGCCGAAATTAATAGCCAGATGGTTTTCAGAACCGACCATCTGTGTTTTTATTTATAAATTGTTGTCTCACTGTATTGATATCCCTGTAATGTTACTAAATGGGAAGGCCTTACTCATGTTGTATGGTTGAGAAATTTGCCAGTCTTCAAAAGTTCTCATATATTTATGGCTTGTTTAACTTGTTCTGCCAGTATTTGCTGGTCTAGCACTTTTCTAGTAGCATTGCTTCGGATTATGAGCACTTTTCTCATATATTGGTGCTAAATTATGTTATTTTATAGGGCAACGCTATTCGAGTGAATGTTTGTCATGTATCCCTAAAACTTAAATAGACAAAAACCACCTCTCTTGACCCTGGATGGAGCTGCAGCAAAGGTTTAACGAGTCTAATCCATGACTCGTTAAACGATAAATTTTACTGAACTAGTCAAAAAAAAGTTGTGGCTTTACTGACAACTATAGTTTTTTGTGAAACGATAAATTTTTCGATCTAACAACCTCCTCATTGGGAGGATGTCGAGTGAAGTGTGGCAATTAATCTTAAGTCAAAACTCCAATGTTGATTCTTTTAACAATCAATTCCGATCAAATCACAATTAGGGTCGACCTAGTACCCATTGGGCTAACCTGTAATGAAAGATAAGGCATAAAGATATGATACACACACTTAAGCCAAGAGTTTTCCCGTAAGATTACTTTGTACAATCTTAATCTTTATGTTAGAAAGTGATATCTGACCACTAAGTCTTCTCTCACCACACAAGTAAGTGTATTGTATACAAGCACTTTAGCCGACCCGTAGATATGTGCAGATCTAGCAAGAGTAAAGAGTGAGACAATGTGTGGATACAACTGTCTCCCTAGCATGCTTGCTCATTAAAGAAAGGATTGGTTTGACTAACACCCCCCCGCAAGATGATGGTTGGTGGACGAACCATTAGCTTGGAACAGAATAAATGAAAATGCGAGGTTGATAATCCTTTCATAAAGATATCAGCAACTTGATCCATCTTGCATAAATATCGAACATCCAATTCTTTACCAACCACTTTTTCGTGAACATAATGATAGTCAACTTCAAGTTGTTTTGTTCGAGCATGGAAAATAGGATTTGAAGCAAGAGAGATGGAACTAATATTATCACACCAAATCACCGGTGTAGACAAAAAAATACGGAGATCATCACGCAAAAGAGATCGCACCCACAAAATTTTTGCAGCTGTATAAGCCAATTAATGGTATTCAGCTTTAGTGCTGGAGCGAGAGGCGGTTGGCTGCTTCTTAGCACTCCAAGAAATTGAGTTGAGCCTAGATAAATACAATAACCTCTTCAGGACTACCAACATAATCGACATCTTAATAGGCCTCAAGAGTAAGAGAATCAAGTTGGAACATAAGACCATGATCAGAAGTCCCTTTCAGATAGCGTAAGATGCGTTTGACAGCAGTCCAATAGTAGGAGAATGCATGTAATGGCAAACTTGGTTAACAGCATAAGAAATATCGGGATGAGTCAAGCACCCACTACACTCCGATATTTAGTAGGATCTAGAAGAAGAGTTCCATTGCACGAGGTGATTTTCTTGTCACTGGCCACAGGGGATGAACATGGTTTGACAGAGGTCATCTGGGTTCGTTTAAGAAGATCGAAACCATATTTGGGCCAAGTCAAAGACAAACCATGCTCAGTGAAGATGGATTCCAGACCCAAAAAATAGTGAAAATGACCAAGATCCTTCATAGAGAAATGAGAGCTTAAATCAGAAATCAAAAGACGAAGGTGAACCTCACTATTGCTGATGTGAAGAATATCATCCACATATGTTAAGAGAAAAATGGTAGCCCCCTTCTGATCATAGGTAAAGAGAGAATAATCAGTATCTTTAAGATAACCAGAAAAATGTTGAAATGAAACCAAGCCCAAGGAGTTGGCCTGTTTCAAACCATAGAGAAAGTGATGCAGTCGACTAGGGCTGTCCATGGGCTGGGCCAGGCTTGGTCTGCGAATTTTTTTTTTGGTCGGGCTTGAGTAATATAGGCCCAAGCCCGTACACAGACGAGTAACAAGCCAGGCCAGCCGGGCTGGGCTTCGCATAAGGGTAGCTGCTCGCAGCCCAGCCCATCACCTATTGGCGCGGGCTTTGCGGGCGGGCTTTTCTTGGGCCTATTGGGTGTACTTTGTTGGACGGATCTGTTTTGAGCAGGCTTTTTGGGTCCTATTAAAAATATATATAATTTCATTTAATTTTTTTATAAATTATATTTTTGAATTAAAAGTATAGTCAAAATAAAAATTGACAAAAATTAAATAATGAATAATTTTATTTATGAATAGAAGAGAAATTGCATCACTATAAAATGAGTACATCCTAACTAGGTTGACACTTACCCACCTATCTATCGTTTACACAATTCTACCCATTAAAGCCTTTTGTACATGAAAAACTAGAATATTTAATACATGAAAAAAAATACATCAATTTTAATATCTAAATTTCTAAAACTTTAAATTTTGGCATTGCGGGATTTATTTCCATATTTTGATCTCTCGCTTTAGCGGCATTCCAATCTTGAAGACACATAAGGGCTTTTACTGTCTTTCCATCAAAGTAACTCCTATGCTCATCAATGACACGTCCACCTGTACTAAAAGCATCCTATGCTCATCAATGACACGTCCACCTGTACTAAAAGCATATTCGGATGCTACAATCGAC